ACATGTAATAGAATGTTAATAGTCATTTCCCTTTTTTAGGAAATGACCTGTATGTATCTGTGTGACATCAATAAAAGGATCAAGTGCTGCATTATCTTTAGTTACATTGATGTTATTTATTTATGGTGAAACAGTGGTGGAATATCGCTGTTGCTTTCGTATAAATGAAGCGGACATACCTGCGTGGCCGCGATCTAATCCTGTTTACATAAAGTAAACCTGCTCCCGAGCAGGTTTACGCTTACGGCTCTGTTGCTATGACAGCAAGTCCCGGATGAGCTTCGGAGAACCGAACGATCCAAGATCACGCGAAATCGTCAACAATCAAATCCAGCTAACTTACGCGAGGTACGAAGAACGGACCCCATGTCATGGTTCACTTGATCCCTGCAAACAGGCACAAACAAAAACTCTCTAAAGCTTTTGTAAAGACACTGAAGCAGTGGACTGATGAGGCTGTGGAGAATCTGCAGGTGTGTCTGGACTGCACCGACTGGCAGGTTTTCAGGATTGTTACCAACAGTTTGGATTATTATAGAGATGCTGTGACGTCCTGTAGACATCAGCTTCTGTGACGACAGCTGCACAGCATCACAGTCACTCACTGTTTTCAGCTAATGACTCTGCTTCTGTCTGGAAAACAATCAGACGGTGAACCAACCACAGACCTAAAGACCCCACTGCACCAACCATTCACAGCTGAACAGCTCCTGCTGCGGATTCTACCAATAATGACCTGTTAGTCTCCCCCACCCAAGACTTTCAACACCTTAGCACCCCCCATCATTATAAAACATGGGCCTGGACCTTCTGTAGAACTTCAACTACAGAAATAAAACTGAACAAAACACCCGAGTTCACTCCATGATCAACATTTCATAGAATGAACACTTAGTCAGGTCTACCTGTGAAAATGAGCATTAAACTTCAAATATTCACGTGAGCAAAAGATATCAATCTATCAATGAAAAGTAGAAAAACTTCTGTCTTCTGTACACAAAACTAAATAAAGTCCAACATTCAATCCACAACATGATTAAAAACATCTTCTTCTCCCAAATCACCAAGAGCTGCACATTAACCACCACAATATATTTTTATTCTCTGTGCTTTCAAATATGAACACTGTTTACTTTCATCTGTTTCATTAGTTTTTGTTAACATCTTCCTGTGCATCACTTTACAGCAGCCACACTCATAGAAATGAGACTTTGTAGTTCATTTCCTCTCATGTGTTCATCCACAGCAGCAGGGCAGTCTATTGTGACCCTGATACTGCAGCAGATCGCTCTGATTTCCTGTTATCACTTCAAATCAGGCTGTAGAGGTTTGGTGCAGGCAGAAAAACAGCTGCAGGGACAATGAAAAGACTTTTCTGCTCCAACTTTCTGCCAGCAAACTGTTGAGATCCTCACTTGATCATTCCGGTCCTTTGTTACTCAGCTGTAAAAAATAAAACTCTGTTCACTTGTAATGCTTCTTTATTATCACCACGGCGCAGTGGGAGATCAGACAATACAACACAGCAATTTGAAATGAGGGGCATTCCCACAGATCTTTACATTTTATAGTTTGTGGCCGCACCTCTAATGGTCATCTAAAAGCGTTCAAAACAAGTTCATAAATTACTATATTTGGATAAGCGTAGCAGAGTGTGTGTTTGAGAGAGAGAGCAGTGCTCTATGGGCTCAAAATGTGGTCATAAATATTTTGTATGTGTAAAAAAGATTTGTGTGTGCGTAAAAAAGATTTGTGTGTGCGTAAAAAAGATTTGTGTGTGGACTTAGAAAAAAAAAACCCTGCAAGTTACAAGTACGGATTTTGACCCTATTTTTCTTCATGTCTGTGAAGGTTCTCAGTCAGTGTATTTCAGACCCAGCAACACGCTCAGACAGAAACTGGTTCACCCGAAAGACAAAACGCCAAAACACAGACTTAACAATGTGGTGTATGCTGTACAGTGCAGCGAGGAATGCCCAGACCTCTACATTGGAGAGACCAAACAGCCACTTCACAAGCGCATGGCACAACACAGAAGAGCCACCTCCACAGGACAAGACTCAGCAGTCCATCTGCATCTAAAGGATAAAGGCACTCTTTCGAGGATGCCAATGTTCACATTTTGGACAGAGAGGACAGATGGTTTGAAAGAGGAGTGAAAGAAGCATCTATGTCCACTGTGAGCGACCATCTTTGAACAGAGGCGGGGGTTTACGACACCAACTCTCTGCCATCTATAATCCAGTTTTGAGATCCCTTCCCAGACGCCTTAACGCCCACTCACATCCTGGGCCATCTGACCTCAGGAATTCGCATGATAAGGTGGGGCCAGGTTTCACAATGAACACACCCGAAACTCTGGCTGATTGGGACCCACACCCAGTTTCACACCTTGGCTCAGGCGATTAGAGGATCATCAGGGGGTCCTTTTGTCCCTCTGTGGGGGGTACTCCCACTAGGTTTATATCTGGGACTCTCCACCATTTGACCTTAGAACTGAAGAAGCTTCTCGGATGAGAGGTGAAACGTCTTCAAGAACTTAAAGAAGTCCAGACGCTTTTCTTTGCAAGCTCCTTTGCCTATTTTTCTTCCTTTCATCTGATTGGTCAATGTCATGTCAATCACAAATGTAACAATCCAATCAGAGAACAGATGGGTTTCACTGTCGGAGGGGCGCTTTTTTGAACTGCAGGGCCCTGTTTCAGGAAGCCGGTTTAGTGGAAAAACTGAGTAAGTATACCCTGAGTTAACGAAAACGCTGGTTTTTCGGTTTCACAAAGCGAGTTCAGCTGCAGCCTGAGTGAGTCACTATGACGACACACGCCGTGAAGCTAACCTGCCCCCTAGCAGGTTTACCACAACTAACCCTGACTGACCCCGCCCCTTTGTCGGAAACCTGACAGTAGGAAGTGTCAGACATGGCGTGTCCCTTCCGTGAAGAGCCGGTAGATCGTGAAGCCCAAATTCTCCGCAGAGCTCTCCGCCGGGAGAGAGTGATCAGACGCGTTTGGACATTTTATCATTTCCTGATGAGTTTCTGTGTGAACGTTACCGTTTCTCAGCACAATCTATAAGTTATTTGACTAACATCCTCAGGCCATATATTACGCATGTGACACATCGCGGACATGCTCTCAGTCATTACATATTATTTGTATGCACTTCGGTTTTTTGCAAACGGGAGCTTTCTGTATAATATTGGTGACGCTGAGCACGTTTCCAAGGCTACCGTCTGTCGGGCAGTCAGGAATGTTACAGTTGCACTGAAACGTCTCCTGTACTCGTTTGTGGTGTTCCCCGGTCATAGACCCACAAGATTTATCAAAGAGGGATGCCACAAAATTGCAGGTAGCAGGATGAACAAAACTCAATTCATGATGTGGTGATACTTGAACTACTACTTAAATTTTACATTTATTTTCAGGGTTCCCAGGCGTGATTGGCTGTACAGATGGCACTCACATTCCAATCATTGCTCCTTCAGTAAATGAAGGAGACTATGTGAACAGGAAGTCTTTCCACAGCATTAATGTACAGGTACATAGTTCCCTGTAGCATTTCAAACTAACAAATTATTTCATTATAGTAATGGATGCTAATTTGTGTTCTCTGCACTGTGAAGATCATATGTGATGCTGCCAACATTATCACAAATGTGGAAGCCAAGGTGGTCCGGTTGCCATACTGACAAATTTCGTGATGTCCCCCTGGGCGCCTCCTGGGCGAGGTGTTCCAGGCATGTCCCACCGGGAGGAGGCCCCGGGGCAGACCCAGGACACGCTGGAGAGATTATATCTCTCGGCTGGCCTGGGAACGCCTTGGTATTCCCCCGGACAAGCTGGAGGAGGTGGCTGGGGAGAGGGAGGTCTGGACCTCTTTGCTTAGGCTGCTACCCCCGCGACCCGACCTCGGATAAGCGGATGAAGATGGATGGATGGATGGATGGATGTACACTGAGCACAAAATTTGGACATGGTGAGTTGAGAATACTTTAAAATATATAAAGACCAATTGCTTCAGGGACATTTGAACTGAAGTGTATCCTTCTGTCTTAGGAGAGTTCACTGGCTACTTGCTTGGTGATAGGGGGTATCCATGTTTACCCTATTTGCTTACCCCTTACCCTGACCCTGAACCGGGCCCACAGCAGCGATATAATCTGGCTAATTGCAGGACAAGAGCCAGAATTGAAATGACTATCGGAATGCTTAAGGCCCGGTTCCAGTGCCTGCAAGGACTCAGGGTCACCCCAGAAAGGGCATGTGACATTATTGTGGCATGTGTGATTCTTCACAACATTGCCACAATTAGAGGAGAACACTGTCCTTCTGAACCAAACATCAGCAGTGATCCAAACCATGAACATCCTGACCCTCCCACGGACATACAAGATGGAAGTCGCAGTCAGAGACACCATATGTCACAATCATTTCTTTTGACCCATCACCTCAACATGTTGAAAGAAGAATAAACAGATTTTATGTTCAACTGGCTTTATTGGTCACCTGTGTTTCCTGTACACAAAGTATTAAAAGATGTAAACCTCATAAAGTGTCTCTGTTGCTTCCTCCTCTGTAACAGCTGTCAATGTTTCTTCATTATTTTCCTGTAGTAAAGAAATAAACAACATTGCTGTTCTACTGTAAACTCATATAATCTGTGGAGTATTACTCACAACTGCATGTTGGTCTGGCTCAACAGGAGGCTGCACCAGATGCAGTACACCACCACCATCAACTGATAGAATATGAGGTTTATACAGGTCACTTATAACTTACAAGGGACCAAATGGCAATTAACAAACATACCAATCACCTTACACTTCATTGTCATTATGCTCTCAAAGACAACCAAGACTGAGGGAAGGCAAAATCAGTAGGAAAATGACTTCACTACAAAATAATCCATTATGGTAAAGAGTTTATCAAATGAATGAGTAGCACTGCAAAGGTGACTGTGAAGAAAGGATGTATGCACATCATGTATTATTTTGAATTTACCCCCTATGTAGGCACTTGTGTCTTGCGGGGTTATTGACTCAGAGGATGTCCCCGCAGAGATGCCTTCGGCCACAGGGCGCCCACTGTTTTGGCTGAGGGCCAACTGCTCAGCCTCTGTGAGTGGTGGTGGTGGAGGACCCCCACCTGTTTTTCGGGCCTCCGCTTTTTTTCTGTTGGCTATAACGGGTCACATTTGAGCATACAGAGTAAGCAAATATGTACTTGTAATGTGCTCAGATAATTTCAATAAGTGCTTACAGAGGAAGAAAATTAATGTAGCCTCTAACTGCAATTGATTTACATAGGACAAACAGACCAAGCACTATGGCTCATAATACAATTACACCTCACCTGTTTGGACTATATTTTTATATTTCATTTTTACTTGCTGCCAGGAACGTTTGGGGCCTGTTGGGTTGCACCTGCGCTCACATCACATCACAAAATAAAATGTATGAAATATAAAATAAAATAACATATGATAAAATAACATATGATAAAATAACGTGTTAAATGGGTGGAAATCCCTAGATCAATGTTTAAATTAACACTCACGCATTGACTCTGTCGGCTATGTTTTGCCATGCATGCTCCCTGTCTTTTGCAGCTATGGCTAACTTTACTTTTTTCCGCGGAATTTGCATGTTATCGGCATATGCTGCCATCAGAATTTCGGCCTCAAGCGCTGTAAAATACATTGACCGCGCCTTCTTTCCCTCCGTCTCCATGGTGACTCGCTTAATCTGTGCTCCGCTTATCAGGGCTTTATGTATCCTCGTCCGCGCGCTTCACTTGGGGTTAAAGCGGACTCCGCGTTGACTGAACTACTTGTTATCAGCCTTTCTGAAACCGAATATTCCGAGTTGGACAGTTGGGGTTACTCAACCGTGAGTGTCGTTTTTCACTCTGAGTTTTCCAAACCGGCTTCCTGAAACAGGGCCCAGGGTAATCACCTCTCACGCCTTGAAATCATGTTCAGAACGATATCAATATGAACATTCGTAGCTGGAGGCCAATACCAGTTCTTTTGCAGTAGCGTGTTAAAGTGATAAACAGTTGTGTAGTAGTCAGTGGTTAGCATACCATATGGAAGTGTAGTAATGTTTATTTGCTCTGCTTCTTCTTGTCAGGGATAAAATGCATATCTATACTTTTGTGTCCCAGCTGAGTAACAGGAGGAGAAGAGTCTGGTGGAGCAGCAGAGGAACAGTTTCAGCCATTTGGACTCAGCTCAGCCACTACAGAGGAAACAATGACTTCAACACAGGAGGTGAGAAAAATATCTCCGTTACATCTATGGCTGTGCAACATGATGAAATACATATTAGATGAACGATATAAAAACATCTATCGTTTCATATTATACACTATTGTTTGTTTCGCGGTGTCGCAAAATGCGCTGTTTATAGCAGTATTTGTTTTTTCTTCTCCCACCTATGGAAGAATCACATGAAAGGGTACAGAGAAAGTTTAGAGGCAAAAAGAGCCATCGAAATGAACCTTAAACTTTAAGTCGACTTGTGTGAAATTCAAAGAATTTACAGAAAATGCACATTTGTGATATATATCGTTATTGTTATGAGACATGTGTCATATCGGGATATGAGATTTTGGTTATATTGCACAGCCCTAGTTGCACTGTTATTGTTATATTAAAAAATTAACAGAGCGTAAGATGGACACACACAATATGTGTGTGCTCACAATTCAGCCTTCAGTTACCCGGCTTTCATTCAAAATCTGTTTGTCGTGAGCACCTACAAATTAAACAACTTACAGATTATAAATGGCTTCAAGCTCACACTGAGGCCTGTGGGGCACTATCACCCACTGAGACACATTTATATGTTTTTATATATGAATATTTCATACTTTAATGATGCCTATTTATTTAAGGGAGATGAGCAATACAGTATAATTGTACATAATAATATCACAGATGACAGATTAATAGATTTTATGTAGATGCTTGTGCGTTCTTAAAGTCTTATATGTTGAATTGAATGTGTCATCTGTTCAAAGCCTCCCAGTCAGTGCTGTTCTCCATGCCTGTCTGACTGTACATGATGTTATTAGCACAAACACTTTAGAGGTGATCAATTAGGACTTAAACAATAATACAGACAGCAACGTGGCTAAACATCTTACAGTAGGTGTTATTGGGAATGACCTTTTTCAGTATTTTTGTGTGTTGCATTTTTCTATGTTTTAACCAAAGGGAAATAAAGGGGTTTAAATCAACCTGATGGTTTATTTTAATTTTCACATGGTTTTACTCAGATGATACAAAGTGAAACATGCATTCTTTTTTTACTTGCTGGAAAAGCTTGAAAATGGACCTTGAAAGTGCATAAAAAGTGCTTGAATTTGACCCTGAAAATGGCGTATCAACTCTGAATTGTATCAGCACCCATCAAAACAGCAATATCATCAGTTAAACTCACATTTTTTCGTAAAGTAAGAGATTTTCCCCGGTGATCAGTATTTCTTCAATACAGTGGTCCCTCGCTATAATGCGGTTCACCTTCGCAGATTTTTTTTTTTTATTTGTGCAATTTTCCTTCTTTTTTTTTTTTTTTTTTTATCCCATTATGTTCCTGATTGACTGAGGACCATTGTCAATCAATCTTGTGCCGTGTCTCCTGTACAGTACAGAATGCATTCAGCTTGTTAAATTTACATAAATCTTTGATCGCTAGTAGTGTGACTATTAAGTGCTGTATGTTGTGTTTTCTCCCCAACAAACACAACAGTGTCGACGAAACATTTTGCACCACCAAAGGCAGCCGCGGGTGCCTTTGGTGCCTGTGCTGCTCCCCCTGCACACCGTGGCATAGAAAAGTACTCCAGCAACCAGCGACTAGTAAAACATCCTCAGAGCTAGAGCAGGGCGATATGACCAAAAATATTTATCACGATATACATTTGAAAATGAGCGATTACGATATCATTGACGATATCATTGACAGAAGACAAAATACTTTACAACTCCACAACTTTATTAGTGCAAAAAACCCCATGAATGTATTTTCACTTAAACAAGCAGCTGTTTTTTTTATGTGCATTAAAGTTATATAAAAATTTAACAGTGCAAATACAAATTCTTTGCTGACAGTTTAACCAAAAGGCATTTCCAGTGGAAACTGGCCGACATATCCTCAGCATAACCATGTATAATATCCACAACACTTAAAACGAGGTCATACACACAATACGGTAATATTATGTTGAAGCACAGTACGTATCACTCCGCCTACGATAGCCGTAATGCTCCGACAATCCATCAAGCGGTGCGGCTTCGTAGCTTAGCAAAGTCGTACTGAAACATTTGACAGATTTTCGAGCACCGTGCACATAAAATGGTTTCGAGGTCAGTAAACACAACCAAAGTTCATACATAAGGCCCACGGGATTATAAGGGGCTCTGTCGACATTCAGAAAAATCAAAGGATTGATTTTAAGTGTGCCGTGTTTTCCAAACAACACGGTAATAACGACGGCCCGCTAGCATGCGCTACCAAAAATAGTGCTTTGTTTTGTATCTGACGGACGAAAGCTAAACCAGTTCCAGTGAAGCTGCAGCATTTTGACAAACCAGTTCTGGTTCATCCGTTTTTATTCAACGATCCACTTTCACTCTTCTCATTCTGCATCGCCGCCATGTGCGTATGTACACATGTGCGTATGTAAACAAAGGTACTGCGCATGTGCGTTTTACCCATATTCTATCGCGATATTTCATTTTCCTATCGTTGCCCAAAATTACACCGGTATTACCGTGAACGGTATGATATAGCCCAGCCCTACTCAGAGCTTCCTGCAGATGTTAAAGGGAACCCCAGCTATTAAGACATGTTTGCGCTAAAATATGTATTGTGCCTTCAATAAAACATGTCTTATTAAAATACGCCAAATGTTTTCCTTTTAAGCACATTTTATATAAAACCGATTTACCAGTAGGCCGCCATTGTTATTTACTTCTCAATGCACTCTGGGTAGGGACGTCATACAGTTGTACCGCATCCAGTTCAAGTTTGCAGCGCACTGGAAATGGCTTCTGTTCAACCTTTCCAGTTCACACCAGAGCGAACCGAGTGAGATAATGAAAATAGTCAACCAGCACTTAGTTTAGATGAAGATGAACACAATCTGTCACACGAGGACGAGAGAGTGAGGGAAAACTACTGGTGTCTATGCGCCTACTGCTTGCCAATGGCAACGGTGACTGAGAAGGTTTGTTATAAAGCACCAAAACTTTGAAGCCGTATGTGTTAATCCAAATGTTCTCTGGGAAGCCCTTGTTAGCCTCATGATCAGTATCCAGTTTTTAAGTGATAATGTGATTGTGGTGGGGCGTGGTTTGCGGTGCCGTGCGGATGCACCTTTACGGCATCCGCAATCACGCCCGCCGTGTTAAAACACGGGGACTCAGGGGTTGGTGTGGTGTGACGTGAATTAAATAAAGTTGGCTCTGAACATTGCTCCGTGGTCCCGCCGTGCCTTATTCACGCCACATTGGTGCCGAAACCCAGGAGGCGGCACGGCGGGTCCGTATCGGAGCCAGGGAATGGAGGAGCTGGCCCGGAGGGTGGCCGAAATGGCGGCCGCCCAGCGGGAGCAGGCGGCGGAGGTGCGTCGCCAGCAGGAAGAGCTGCAGGACCGGTCCGAGCGCCACCTGGAAAGGATTGGGGAGCTGGTGGCGCTGCTCTGGGCCTGGGCGCCACCCCCACAAGTGTGTCCCGAGGACAGTGAAGCGGTGGAGGAGCCGTGTGGGGCACCTCGGCAGCCGGAGGTGGTGGACGAGTCACGCGGGGGTCCGAGCCTGCCGGAGGAGGAGGAGCAGCCGGGTGAAGGGCTGCTCCTGCCGGGAGCGGTGGAGGAGCCGCTCCAATCGGAGGCGGAGGACGAGGCGGGCGAGGGTCTACACCTGCCGGAGGAAGAGGAGTCGCTCCACCCAGAGGTGGACGAGGGGCTGTGCCTGCTGGAGGCGGAGGCGCAGTGCGGGGAGCCGCTCCAAACGGGAGTGGCGGAGGCGGTGGCGGAGCAGCTGTGCGAGGAGACGGAGGTCCCTGCTCCAGGGCAGCCTGCGCAGCCGGAGTTGGAGGCAGAGGAGCGGGACAGCCCCGCTAAGCCGGGGGTCGGCGGGCTGGCTAGTCCAGCCTCGCTGCCACCAGTCGATTCTGCGCGCCTGACGTCTGCCCAGCCGCCTGTGTACAGGAGCTCACGGCCATGCCTGTGGGGCCGTGTCCGCTTGCTACGCGGCCGACCTCCGGACCAACTTCGCCGTTGCCGCTGGATGCGCGGGCGGCCACCAGAATGGACGCTTCCCCGTCGCTTGGGCTGGGGCGCCGATGTTTTGGGCCGAGTCTCGCCCCAGTTCGCGGGGGGGGAGTAGGTTCGGCCAGATTGCTCCCCGGCCTCAATCGGGCGATGGGGGTATGTGGTGGGGCGTGGTTTGCGGTGCCGTGCGGACGCACCTGCACGGCATCCGCAATCACGCCCGCCGTGTTAAAACACGGGGACTCAGGGGTTGGTGTGGGTGTGGTGTGACGTGAATTAAATAAAGTTGGCTCTGAACGTTGCTCCGTGGTCCCGCCGTGCCTTATTCACGCCACAGTGATGAATCCTGCTTCCTGCCCAAAGTATTCTGCATTTAATAAGGCTGCTGTGTTTTTTAACATGTTTAAATGCTTTGCATCTTGTTCTATTTAATCTCAACAAGCCCCTAAAAACAGTCAGTGATCACTGCCGCCTCTCTTGGTTTTTATTACCACTGTTCATTTTAAAGCTCAGTTTTTAAACATTTACGATGTAGCTACAGCCCAGCGCACGCAGCAGTATATTAATGCCTAACCTCGTGTAGTGGATGGATTATCTCAGTTGTTCTCCTTCCTGACGTTTGGTCCGTTTACAGCATCCTGCCATGCGATTGCATTTACTCCTAACCATTGGGAACCCTCACATTAACTTCTGTCGAGTGGAAAAAAGTCCACCACTCATTAGTGTTCGTCATCAAGCTTTACTGCTTATGTTATGCTAACATAGCTTGTTGCATTAGTGATCACATAGCAAATCATTATACACCAGCTAGCCCAACTTCAGTAACCCAACAAACGTCACTGCTGTTTACTGTCCTGTCTTCATTTATGTTTCAAGTGATAGCAGAGCTGTACGTTTTAATTTGTTTAATAAATCTCTGTCAGAACATGGTATGTTATATTTAGATAGAAGCTAGCGAGCTAGCTCCTTGCTAACTTCTAGCTTAAATGTCTCAGCTGACTGCAGGTTTACAACATTGGGAAAACCAAAGGACAGAATCAACTTTTGGAGATTTATTTTCATGGATGATTGAGCATGCATCAAGACATTAGACAGTTTTTTAACTCTCAGTAATACTGCAGTGATCATTTGTTCCACGACTGCATTTCTGCAAAAAGTACTGCGACTGCAAAAAGTAACGCCGTTACTTGTAATGCCCTTATTCCCATAACTGGTGGTAACACACCTACAACGTGTTTATTGACTCTTTGATTCCACTAATGGAGTTTCAGTTTGTTCCACGACTGCATTTCACTCACTGCCTCTGTTTGTATCTCTGTCACTGCAGGACCAACATGGAGCGAGAAGTCAGCGCTCTCAGGAGGCCGACAACCCTCACAGAAGAAAGGGACGGAAAAGATACAGCTGTGATGTGTGTGGGAAGGAGTTTACTCACAGTAGCAACTTAGGACATCATCAAGTTACCCACTCTGGAGTTAAGGCGTACAGCTGTGATGAGTGTGGAAAGTCTTTTACCCAGGCTGGAAGCTTAAAAACACACAAACTCATCCACAGTGGAGTTAAACCGTACAGCTGTGATCAGTGTGGTAAAGCTTTTGCTCGCAGTAGTACCTTACAACGTCATCAAGTTACCCACTCTGGAGTTAAGGCGTACAGCTGTGATGAGTGTGGAAAGTCTTTCACCCTGGCTGCAAGCTTAAAAACACACAAACTCATCCACAGTGGAGTTAAACCGTACAGCTGTGATCAGTGTGGTAAAGCTTTTGCTCACAGCAGCGGCTTAAGAGGTCATAAAGTTACCCACTCCGGAATTAAGGCGTACAGCTGTGATCAGTGCGGTAAAGCTTTTGCTCACAGCAGCAGCTTAAGGAGTCATCTAGTTACCCACTCTGGAATTAAGGCGTACAGCTGCGACTTTTGTGGAAAAACCTTTCGTCGGCTACTCAGCCGTAATATTCACCAACGCATTCACACCAAAAATGATTTTTGCTTCTGTGATCAGTGTGGCAAAACCTTTGTGGCATACGACCATTTACAGCGGCACATGTTTACCCACACTGAGGAGAGACCTTATAAATGTGACCAGTGTGAGAAGACTTTTAAAGCTCCACGTTACCTGAGAGTCCACGAACAGATTCACACCAGAAAGAAACTCTACAAGTGCACTTACTGTGAGGTATGTATTTTTCTTTTTGCACTTGCACTTTTGTTGAAGTATTTTGTAAATTAAGTTTCATTTCAAACTTAAACGAGACAGGAAAAGTTAATCTAAGAATATTTGGTCAAATCTGAAATAGATCTCCCAAAACTTTCCTGATGTTGGGAAAAAAGTAAAGTTTTAAAAGTTTCTCCCCTTTCTATCCATCTAACATTCGCACTCCGATGGATGCATTGGAGAGCAGCTTGGGGGTTAGTATCGTGTGACCAACATTGGTCACACAAAATGTATTCCGCTACAGATTACAAAATACATGCACGAATAACGTAACATGACTTAAATGAGCTGTGGGCCACTGCTGGCACTGTCATCTCATTGAAGGGCCACTTTAGTGGTCAAGTAGTACAAGAAATGCAAGAAGACAACCACAAATATTATCAAAAATGTAGTGTTTTCTTTTCTTGTTTAGTTTTTTTATTCAAATATTGTATACCAAGACAAAACTGCAAGCATGAACCCAATTTCTTTCCCCTCACTGTAATATTTTATTTTTTTAAATTTATATATACACATAAATACATACATATTAGGGGTGCAACGATACACAAAGTTCACGGTTCGGTTCGATACTTTGGTGTCACGGTTTGATATTTTTTCGATACAAAAAAATGTTCATGCTCTTTTTAATTTGTCATTTATTAAAATTATAAATATATATTTTAACTCAAAAGTACAGTTTTTAAATTTAATGTTGCTGAAACAACAAAGTAATAAAATAATAAATCTATCTGATGGAGGAATCACTCATCTTTGGAAAAGAGAGTTTATTACAGAGAAATGGCTCTTTCAAATAAAAGCTACAGTGGGGCAAAAAAGTATTTAGTCAGCCACCGATTGTGCAAGTTCCCCCACTTAAAATGATGACAGAGGTCAGTAATTTGCACCAGAGGTACACTTCAACTGTGAGAGACAGAATGTGAAAAAAAAATCCATGAATCCACATGGTAGGATTTGTAAAGAATTTATTCGTAAATCAGGGTGGAAAATAAGTATTTGGTCAATAACAAAAATACAACTCAATACTTTGTAACATAACCTTTGTTGGCAATAACAGAGGTCAAACGTTTACTATAGGTCTTTACCAGGTTTGCACACACAGTAGCTGGTATTTTGGCCCATTCCTCCATGCAGATCTTCTCGAGAGCAGTGATGTTTTGGGGCTGTCGCCGAGCAACACGGACTTTCAACTCCCGCCACAGATTTTCTATGGGGTTGAGGTCTGGAGACTGGCTAGGCCACTCCAGGACTTTCAAATGCTTCTTACAGGAGCCACTCCTTTGTTGCCCGGGCGGTGTGTTTTGGATCATTGTCATGTTGGAAGACCCAGCCTCGTTTCATCTTCAAAGTTCTCACTGATGGAAGGAGGTTTTGGCTCAAAATCTCACGATACATGGCCCCATTCATTCTGTCCTTAACACGGATCAGTCGTCCTGTCCCCTTGGCAGAAAAACAGCCCCATAGCATGATGTTTCCACCCCCATGCTTCACAGTAGGTATGGTGTTCTTGGGATGCAACTCAGTATTCTTCTTCCTCCAAACACGACGAGTTGAGTTTATACCAAAAAGTTCTACTTTGGTTTCATCTGACCACATGACATTCTCCCAATCCTCTGCTGTATCATCCATGTGCTCTCTGGCAAACTTCAGACGGGCCTGGACATGCACTGGCTTCAGCAGCGGAACACGTCTGGCACTGCGGGATTTGATTCCCTGCCGTTGTAGTGTGTTACTGATGGTGACCTTTGTTACTTTGGTCCCAGCTCTCTGCAGGTCATTCACCAGGTCCCCCCGTGTGGTTCTGGGATCTTTGCTCACCGTTCTCATGATCATTTTGACCCCACGGGATGAGATCTTGCGTGGAGCCCCAGATCGAGGGAGATTATCAGTGGTCTTGTATGTCTTCCATTTTCTGATGATTGCTCCCACAGTTGATTTTTTCACACCAAGCTGCTTGCCTATTGTAGAGTCACTCTTCCCAGTCTGGTGCAGGTCTACAATACTTTTCCTGGTGTCCTTCGAAAGCTCTTTGGTCTTGGCCATGGCGGAGTTTGGAGTCTGACTGTTTGAGGCTGTGGACAGGTGTCTTTTATACAGATGATGAGTTCAAACAGGTGCCATTCATACAGGTAACGAGTGGGGGACAGAAAAGCTTCTTACAGAAGACGTTACAGGTCTGTGAGAGCCAGAGATTTTCCTTGTTTGAGGTGACCAAATACTTATTTTCCACCCTAATTTACGAATAAATTCTTTACAAATCCTACCATGTGGATTCATGGATTTTTTTTTCACATTCTGTCTCTCACAGTTGAAGTGTACCTCTGGTGCAAATTACTGACCTCTGTCATCATTTTAAGTGGGGGAACTTGCACAATCGGTGGCTGACTAAATACTTTTTTGCCCCACTGTATACTATACGCTTCTTCTGGGCTATATTCTCAGCAGCATATTAAACATATCAGGTCCCCATAAGGAGAATCCTGTGCTAACGGCTGTCTAAATGACTCGGGTAAAGTTTGTAGCATGCTGCTTGTTGTTTTTGTCTGCTTCCACTTGTCTTTGCACTAGGATGATGTCGGCGTAAATGTGCAGTCATATTCGTTGTGTTCCCACTAGTGCTGTCAGCGTTAATCTCGTTGAAATGACGTTAACGCCACAACACAGCAAATCTCCGTTAACGAGCTACCGCGGATCGCCCCGTGCATGGGGCTGGACGGCCAACACGTTAACGAGCTAACTGCGCTAACGCACTAGCTCCCACCCATGTAATTGAGCATTGCGTGGCACATCCAACATACTGTTTTACTTTAGTCCATGACGCGCTTACCTTCAGGGTCATACGTCACATGAAGACCAAAATAGTTCCAAACGCCAGATCTGAATGAGGGTGGGGGAGGTTCAATTTGCCATGTTGCAAGGAGAGCTTAACTTCTGTCTCGCTAGCTTGCCCTGCGCTCAGTGAATCTGCGTTCGACTACTCCGCCTAGGCTGCACTGTCGAGCGCAGATCCACTGAGCGCTCAACACAGACAGCATCGTCAGAAGGAAAGTTGATAAAATAAATAAAAAAATTTGTATTGTTCGATACATATGCGTACCGAACCGAAAGCACTGTATCGAACGGTTCAATATCGATACGAGTATCGTTGCACACACACACACACACACACACACACACACACACACACACAAACACAAAAACACACACACACACACACACACACACACACACAAAAAGCCCCTTTTTCAGGCGACTTCAAATGTTGAAGGAATTCCCCGACTTACACTGTGTTTGTGTCTTTGTTTAGAAGCAGAGCAACACAGATGGATCCAGTTCTCAACCCTGTCGTCACTGTGGTGGTGGGAAAGCGTTTCGCTGTGACCTTTGTGGAAATACTTTCAGTTCAAAGAAGGAGCCTAAAACTACATCAACGTAGACACACTGGAGACAAAATGAACTACTGCAAAGAATGTGGGAGTGGCTTTCCAACACAAGTGAATTAAAAAAACACAAACTTTCACAGTGGGGTTAAAAACCACGTCTGTGACCAGTGTGGGTCATCTTTCTTCACTGCAGGTCATCTTACATTACACAAACAAGATCACACAGGAGAGAAACCATATAAGTGCAGACACTGTGACAAATGTTTCTCACATTCAAGTCGTTGTAATGATCATGAAGATGCACACATCGAAGGGAACTTCAGCTGTGACCAGTGTGACAAGAGCTTCAAGAATCTCAGTTCATACTCCGAACACAAACGATCCCACGCTGTAAATAAACTGTTTCACTGTTACCAATGTGCAAAAACATTCACTTCATTATCTGCTCTGTGCAAACATCAGCGTGATCATGCAGGACTGAAATCACTGGATCACAATGAATCTGACGAGACAGAAAGATCCTCTTCTGGTTTCAGGGTCAGACTTAAAAACCTTGAGATCAGGCTCCACAGAGTTCAGCTGGAGTCTCCTGTAAAGAGTGCAGCTGATGTCACCCTTGGATCTGATGAGGTAGCTCTGATTTCTGGACCTGCAGTGAATAATCCTGGATGTTAAACTAGGGAAGTTGCAAGTATAGATGTGCACATCAAGTGTTTTCTTTTTTCTTTGAGAGATTTTCATTCTGTAAAAGAAACTTTAATGTTGAAAATGTTTGTCCTATAGAAAATAAGAGAGGAGAGTTGTTGATTCTTGTTTACCTCTTATCTGAATAGCACTTACCTGAGTGCCTTGCCACCTGTTAGCCTACTTCCTAGGCCTTATTCCTTGAAGAAAAGACTTCTCTGTAGAAGCACTTGTACCTGAGTTAAGTCATTGTTTAATCACTCACCTTCACACGTTCTTTATTGTCAGATGTCTGCATATTGCTGATTAAACCTACTAAACATTTTGAACTGTGCCCTGTTAATGGTGAATGGACTAGTTCTTATATAGCGCTTTTCCACTCTTCTGAGCACTCAAAGCGCTTTACACAACTTGTAATGAGTCCTCCAGGTGTAACCTTGCAACTGCTAAGACGTCTCTGATGGTACAGGGCCATTGAGGGAAAAATTATCTCCCTTTTAAGTGATGCTGCGAAATATATGACAGCCACTGCCAGACATGTATCCATAAGGCATGTTGTGTGCTATGCACATGCACTAACACCTGGCCTAGAGGAACTGCACAGAAAGTGGTGGCCTATTTTAGATCAAGCATGACTGCTGACCTAAAACAGGCACTAGGAAATACTGGGCAATACCACCAATGTGACAGCAAACCAACTGGGAAAGAACATGTCTGCAACCCTTTGACAAGACCCTACACCCTAGAGAGCTCAGCTGTCACTGTTCACACTGCTTAATTCAAGATTTAAAACCATTAGTTTCCTCAGTGAAGACAAAGCACAAAATGCAGAGTGACGACTGACTGCTGAATGTGCAGCTCATGAGGCACACACTGGAGAGATCTACTGATCACCCATCGACATCACCTGCACCTCAACGAGTAGCACCAAATGAACAAAATCCATCCACAGGTAATGTCACTAATAGTTTATTATTAATATGAAGGAGAAAATTAGTTCAATTTCAGTTTAATTGTATTTATATAACCTCAACTCACAACAACAGTTACCTCGAGGTCATTTATATGGTAAGGTAAAGACAAAAAACACCAACAGTAGAAACAGAAAAATCAAAACCTTTCAGTACACATCCATGTGATGTTACTCAGTCTTTCAGCTTTTAACCATTGGAAAAATCTTGGTGAACAAGATACTAAGATGTCAGCGGCCAAGAAGACAGGGAGTCCCTTTAAAACCCTTAGACTAGCCAGGGGATGTAACAGGGGTAATTCTCAAAATGTGGATTTTATTGTACCCCAGAAAAGACAAGGTTACTTCAAAAATACACAATCACGAAAAATAAGTTCTTTTAAGAATTAAGTGGGACCGTACACAGGATTCTACAATGTATAAAATATAACTCAACAAAGTGACCTGCACAAATGAGAGACAGCTCAACCTACAGTGGGGCAAAAAAGTATTTAGTCAGCCACCGATTGTGCAAGTTCCCCCACTTAAAATGATGACAGAGGTCAGTAATTTGCACCAGAGGTACACTTC